GAAATGCAGCTCTGAGATATCCTGATCCACTTGTAGCCACGCGTCCACCCCTGACGGGGTACGCGGGCGTTCAACCAGCGTTGTAGCGGGCGCATGCGCAGTAAGCCCTGCTGCAGCTGAGGCCATACAGCCCAGCATCCTCTGAAATATTTTCAGGGAGGCGGTTCTGCCCTTCTGGAAAGATGCGGCTAGGTGTCGAACACGGCGCGCACGCTCTGTCGACAGCTGAGCCTTCATAGCCACGGAGTCCAGTTCCATCCCTAAAAAAGAGATTGACTGGCTGGGCCGTAATGAGCTCTTGGTCCAGTTGACCGTGAGACCCAATCTTTCCAAGTGACTGAGAAGCATAGTTCTGTGAGATACGAGCTATATCTCTGACTGTGCTAGAATCAGCCAATCGTCCAAGTAGTTCAGAATTCGCACACCCTGACATCTGAGGGGGGCGAGCGCCGCGTCCATGCACTTCGTAAATGTACGGGGTGCCAGGGACAGGCCGAACGGGAGGACGGTGTACTGATATACCTGGCCGTCGAAGGCGAATCTCAAGAATGGCCTGTGACGGGGTATAATCTGTATCTGAAAATACGCGTCTTTCAGATCGAGAGATATAAACCAGTCCCTCAGGCGAATTTGCGCGAGGATCTGCCTGGTTGTAATCATTTTGAATGATCTCCTCATGAAAGCTTTGTTCAAAAATGTCAGATCTAATATAGGCCTCAGGCCTCCGTCCTTCTTCGGTATGAGAAAATAACGGCTGTAAAAGCCTGACTCACTCAGAGAAGGCGGCACCGGTTCTATAGCTCCTTTGCACAGCAGTTTGGCTATTTCTGCGCGGAGTAGATGTGCTACTTTCGCGCTCACTGTCGACTTGGTCCGAGCGTGAAAACGCGGGGGACGGCGAGTGAACTGTAGTGCATAGCCCTGTCTTATTGTGCTTAGCACCCACTCTGAAACCCCTGGAATGGCTTCCCATGCTTGTGCATGTGTGGCCAGGGGGAGAATGGCCTCCGGGTTCCGGTCATGACTGTGGGCTTCGGGAACTGAAACGGAGATGTGGGCGCGGCGCGCGCGTCCTCAGTGCTTGGACGAAGCGGCTCGCTGACAGCCGCTTTGGGCTGGTTCGCACGTAACGACCCGATTACATTGAATGGGGAGCGTTTTACAATGGCTTTCTGAAGCGCGAGCGGCGCTTGAGGCGGAGCGATTGATAGCACACGCGAGCGCTCGTGAGCGAGCTCGTAGCATACATTCGCAGTCTGACCGGTATGAGTGCTTAAACACGGTGGCTCGCTGACAGCGATGGCACGCTGTTTCATATGTGACGTCCCGGTTACTTTGAGCGGGGAACGTTTTCTGAGAGCTTTGTAGTGAGTGAGCGGCGCCGGAGGCGAGGCATTTATTAGTAAGCGTGAGCGCGCTGGGGCGGGCACGTGACTTACAATTGCAGCCTGACTCATATGGGTGTCTATATGCGGCGGCTTGCTGACAGCAACAGCTGGCTGTTTTAAATGAGGCGACCCGGTTACAGTGAACGGGGAGCGTGCCATGAACATTCTGTGATGCGCGAGCAGCGCCGGAGACAGTGTGTCTGTTAGTAAGAGTGAGCGCTTGTGAGCGGGCATGTGACTTACACTCATAACCTGACTTACTTGAGGTTGAAATGGCCGTGTGACAGAGCGGGCATGAGATGGACGTGAGCGCGAGTTCGCGGGCGCGATGTTTACATCTAACACTCGAGCGGCATTTGCCAGCTTTATGAGAGTGGGCTCTGTGGGCCTGAGGGACACATGTTTTTGAGTGCTTGTGTGTAGGGGTGAACACTGGGACGTGGGCACATTTTCTACTCTTAAAACACCAGCTGCGTGAGCCGGATAAACAGAAATACACTCTATATGAGATTTCTGTGGGTCGCCGTAAAAACGGCGTTTGTGTGCAGGCGAGACGCCATTATAGCCGGCTTGTTGGCTGCTAAATAATCTCCTGCAGTAGCCCTCTGTGGGGACTGACAAGGCGTGGCGTTTCGACGGTGGTCCGGCCGCAGCGGAACTTAACCGTCTTTTCTCCCTTGGTGTTAGGAGGGCTTCGCTTGCTCGGGTTTCAACACAATCCTCGGCCGGGGTCCCCGCGGGGGAGCCGGCCTGTGGCGGCTGTCCGAGCGCGATCTAGGGCGGCCGCCCTGTCGACGCTGCGAGGCGGCAGGCTTGGCTGGACGCTGAGTGGAGCTTCTAGCAGGCGGCTTGTCACGTGAGCGGCCTGTGGCTGAGCTAGAGCATCGTGGCAGAAGCAAATTCATGGCCTGCGAGGTCTTCTGGTCCCATTCGCGGAGGAGGTCGGCTTGCAGGATCTGCAGAACGGCCATAGAGTGCAGGGCGGAAGCAGCCTGTCCGGCGGCGGAGAAGGCGCGGCCGACGAGAGCTGACGTGGTCCTGCAGGCTTTTGAGGGGAGCGCAGACTTTGAGCGCCATCCAGAGGAGGGCGGGCAAAGGTGCGCTGCTACCGCTTCTTCCACTTGGGGGATGGAGACATCCTTCTCGGCGGCACCGTCCACGTGGGAGAGCGTCGCGGAGACACTGGTGTGGAGCCTCGCGGAGAAAGGTGCATTCCACGATTTAGAGAGTTCGGCGTGGAGCTCCGGCAGAAAAGGAGCAGGCCTTGAAGCCGGTGGCTGATGGCGGAGCTGAAGAAAACAGCCGTCCAGGCGGTTAAGCGCGGGCTCCTTGGGCGGTGACCACTCGAGGCCGAGGCGGTCGACGGCCTTCACCAGGAGACGCATCAGCTCGGCATCCACACCCGAACGTGTCCGTCCGGACTCCTGGATGGAAGCAGAGGAGGAGTGGAGAGATCCAGGCCATTCCTCGCTGTCCGAGGCCAGGATAGAACAGCTGTCGCCCGCGGCACCCCTGTCCGCCTCGTCCTCTGAAGCAACGGCAGTGAGGGCGGAAGCCGGCATCTGAGCGTCTGAGCGAGGGAGCCGGTCCGGCGAGTGTTTGTCCTCCGCGTCGGGATCCGGCATCCTCTGAGCACGGCGCTTCTTTTTGCGCGGTGAAATGGAGGGCGGAGTGATAGCTTCAGCGCTGAAGAGCTCCAGACGAACCCGCAGGGTCGCCATAGACAGCTCTTCGCAGTGGATGCAGCCTCCCGACGAAAGTGCGAGGGCTGCGTGGTCCTGGCCCAGGCAGAGAGCGCAGATCACGTGGCGGTCTCCGGCGCTGAGCGGGGCTCGGCACGAGCCACAGGACGTGCGAGGCATTCTTAAAAGAACGCTCGCGCTCTTTTAGTAAAAGTGTGTGTCGCAGCGGCGAGCACACACAGACACAGTAAAACAGTGACAAAGAGCAGAAAAGGATATTTGTCGCCGGATAGCGTTGCTGGCACGGAAGGCTGAAGGCGGCAAGAAGTCGACTGGCTTCCTCAGGCGCTTTCCTCTGCTGGCAGTTGCTGGTTTCGACGGCGGCGGCTTCTCTCGGATCCAGCGGAATGAAGAGCTTCGCTGAAGAGATGAAAATCAGGGAAGCAGCCTCTGAGCCCCGCTTTTATACGCTAAGCCACACCCCCTTGCGCGGGCTGTGACGCTTAGCTGGTAAAGATGAACTTTACCCGTAGCGTAAGCTAAACTTACGCAATACGAGAGAACCTCTTGTAAGAGAACCTAGTTTTGAATGACAAAAACTATGACGAAAATCTATTGACATTTTCGTCAACGAATAAAAACTAGACGAAAATGTTAGATAGTGACGATCTGGGAAGCGATCCCCCTAAGAACTGATGTCCTGCCTGTGTGGTAGATGCGCACATTTGTACTGTAACGTGCTGATCTACCTCGCGGTCTCATAAAACGTTAGAAAAGGTAAACGTCTGGGAGAATGAGTAGAGCAGACATATAGATCTGAATAAGAGTGACGATGCAAAAAAGAGCTCTATTCCGTACGGTTTTCTGTGCGCACACACCCGACCTGAAGCGTCCAGCCATGCACAAGCACAATATACAGTGCGCAAGTACTGAATTGAGCGCTCTTTCGTGTCTGAATGGACATTCACACAACATTATGTCTAAATGTCCGTTTTGGAGAGTATTCATGTAAACTATGTCAGTTATGTCTTAAACAGTTGAGAGTGTATCGGATGTGCATCAGTACAATTGGACATGTCATTGGACATAATCTGATGTTTTAAAGTGACAGTGGGTAATAAACCTAATACGGTCTGTGTCCTTAATATTCAAGCAACAAAAGAAAAAGAGAAAAGCATTCACTGTTTGTTAATAGCTTTAATAAGGATTAATTATATTTAATTCATACAAATAAATATGTCTGCTTGAAAGAATAAAGAATGATGCAAGTAGTTATAAAGAATGTATATCATTAATTGAAAAGAAGATGTATTTTACTTTAGGAAGAGTGGTTTTATTTAATTTTAAGATATTTTTTAAGTAACAGTTGTTAAATCTGTATCTGTATTGTATGTTCAAACTTGTTCAAAATCATTCATATTAATAGGTTAATAGACGTTTTCTCTGGGAGTATATGGGTTTGGATATATTAGAGAAATTCTAAATTAATGCATTACAATTTACCTAAACCCATTATATTTTAGTCGACTGTAGATTTAGTCGACTAAAATCTTATTGTATTTTGTCGACTAAAACTAGACTAAAACTAAAACAATTCAGATGACTAAAATATGACTAAAACTAAATGGCATTTTAGTCAAAAGACTAAGACTAAAACTAAATCAAAATTAGCTGTCAAAATTAACTCTGCAAGGGTATAAGCAATAAAATGCATAGATCATTTGTACGTAGCACAAATAAACGTTAAAAAGTTAAAAACAAGTTAAAAGGCTTACAATATTGTTTTAAGCTATCTTAATATTTAAAAAAAAAATGAAATTGGTAAGATAAAAGCTAATTCTTTGATACAGGCCAATGAAAAGCGAATTTAGTTTGTTTACGTTACCATGGCAACAGCGGCACAGTCAAGCAGCGCTCGCAAGATCTGTGCTGAGCTGAGAGGTGTAGACATTATCGACAAGTGCAACAGTAGGCTACTTATCACAAGAACATTCTATTACTGGAAGTCTTTGCCCTGGCCGTTGCTTATCAAACAGCGTCCTATCGCAAACAAACATCAGTGCAATGACCTCAGAGGCTAATGAGGAAAATAAACCGGATGGAAGGTGTTTACTGGGAAACTGGGTTGAGGAGGTGAGATTCACACAGCGTGTGTAAATCATACTTCACTGCAGGCTGAAACTTTAGCAAAATGTTTCTTGTGATACTGGTATAATTATATTTAGGTATAATTATATATGTTTATATATATTATAAACATATTTTCTGCGCTTTTTGTCTCATCATATTCCACCTAATCAATGACAAACAGTTACACTTTCTTTCATGCGCTTCAGAGGGCTACTGCATTGCTAGACATGACCGAGCCTAGATCTCGTGTTCATAAGTACGGACACACAGGGATTCTTACCATGGACGTGGCTGCTAAAGTGCAGGGGATTAGTACATTCAAAGCAGCCTTCAATGCTCCTAAAATCCTTGTGGTGCGACAAAAAGGTATATTAAATGTTTTGTTTTTAATTTGCTTGCTCTGCTAGAAATACTTTCATACGCCATGATGTTGTTTAGGCCTAGTCAAAATTATTCTCGACAAAACCTCATCTAGAGTTTACCTTGATGACACGTGAAAATGAGCAGAATAACGTTAAATGAGTCAAAAAAAAAAATTTAAACACTTGTGCATAATATCACACGTAAGTAAAAATAGCCTAGCTGGTCTGCATAATACAATCAGGTTACTGACAGTTCTGTGGTTGTATCATGGTTGTTGTACTTATTGTACTCTTTTTATTTAAAAATTTATTTTCATATTATTAAATTAATTTGACTTCTTAGTTATTCACGATAACGTTCTTCGGATTAGTCCACAGAGCTCCTGCATACATCTTTTTAAATAAATTTCATTGTGGTTTTCATTTTAGGAAGAAGGACTGAACTTTTGGAAAATGACCTCATCAAAAGGATAAGGTAGTTAAATAAACAAGCATTTACTTTAAAATTTAATGTTCGACGACTAATGTCGAATGTCGTCCTCCCACATTTCTTGTTTCATGTGTGAATAGAGGAAACAGTGGGAGAGGAATGATGTAAGAATGTTTGTGTCAGGGTTAGATTCATAGTTTAATTAAATAATTTTTATTTACCATGCAATTGTATGCTTCATTTTGAATGTAACCTTGACAACAAGTCTCTGACCTCAGACAAGTGGTTGCAACTTGCAATATTGTTTTTAAATAATAATAATAATAAAAAACAGGAAATATTACTCTGAAGTGAGACAGTACCTCATACCCATATATTTGGTATTGGCCACCAGTACTGAAAGCTAAATGTTGGCAATTCTACTTACCATTATCCTAAGAACTTCATAGAAGTTTCCCATTATCATCAGGAAGTTCACATTGAACTATTTTAGCTAAATTGCTTCACTTTCTAGAGAAGCAGTCAATGGATCTAAAGGTAAATGTGATACACTGTATAGTTGCATTTACTACTTTATTTATGAAATTCTAACCATAATGTACAAATATTTAATCTAGTTTTTGGCATCATATTTAATTTATTGGTTTTATTAAATAAATTAAAAATAAAATAAATATTTTGCAATATTTGAAGTAGATTAGCTTGATTAAACATTTAAAATCAATACCAGGAAGTCAAACATTTCTTTAAAACGGGGTGTGAAGCAAAGAAGGCAGCATGAATGGGAATGCTAACAGATAGCTCTCTCTCTCTCTCTCTCTAGGTATATTATAACTCCCTGATTAAATTTACGAAAACAAATTAGCCACACAAATATTTTTTAGCTTAATATTTTTAATCTGTTTTACAGTGATCAAATACATGCAGAGCTGAACGCAGCCCCTCCAGCCCCTGAGTTGTGCTCTGTGACCAAAGCAGACTTCAAAGTGGAGGGCTTCAAGTCTGTCCACGCACCACTAACCGTGGTCAGTTTCTGTTTACCATAAATTTTAGGGAGTAATATTTGAAAGTCTCTTGGGCAAAGCATTTCATTTTGAAGTGACCAAAAGGTCTATGGTAAATAATGTTAAGACCTGTCAATCATTTTGTCTTTGAACACGTACATTTGCGTGTGTGTGTGTGTGTGTGTGTGTGTGTGTGTGTGTGTGTGTGTAGTGTGTGTGTGTGTAGTGTGTGTGTGTGTAGTGTGTGTGTGTGTGTGTGTGTGTGTGTAGTGTGTGCCTTTCTCTTTTGGTAGTTAATCTGCTTGTCCCTCACAGGATCATGACTACACAACCGAGCAGGCCATTACATTCTGGAGTGATAATTATCAGAAGATTCAGGTCAGCATACAGTGAGATTTCAGTGAATACATTTATGTTTTGCAGTTTTGGAGAGGTTTTATAATGGTTTTATAATGTTGTTGATGTTTTCTTTTCACAGGGCATGACAGCAGTTAAAACTAAAGATAGTCCATTTAAAAGAAATGCCACTTTTAGTACACCAATCGGTGAACAACTTGATCAGCTGGACGACACAGTGCTGTACCCATCAAAAAATGATGTTAATATGTGAGAAATTAAAACATATTTATATCATCATTTCATAATTTCATTATCTCCTGTTAAATGTCTTCATTTTAGTTCTAACCATTTTATATCACAAATAAACAGTTAAGTCGCAGAAATGTAAGCCTTTGAATTACATGGCTCTCTGGAATTCTGATACTAATTGGTCAGTCACTGCATATCATGATACCCGATCACATTGTCATGGTTTATTGTATGTAGCGATTCTAGCTCAAATAAAGGGAATATAATTTTAATAACTGATCATGAATATGATCAGGAATCGCATACACAGATTAAAATTACCCGTAAAGGGGATACGTTGCCAATGTATCTGTATGGACAACTACATACAACGGATTATAATCAATTATCCATACAGGTAGGCAAAAATAGATCAATTGTATATATCAATAATCAATCACAACGAATTCTAATTAAATATTAATATGTCAATTGTCTAGAATAGATCAATTCTAAGGATAACCCCTATGGAATAAATTTGTTATCGAATAATCTGTTCGTCCAGCAAACTGATCGTACGATCTTTCATCAACCCTCAAGAGAAGTTATCCTTATAGACTCGCAAGAAATGCTATCTTTCTGGCCATGAAAAATAACTTTCCTGCTTTATAAAAATACTATTTAAAGTCGGCATTAAAACGGAAGTTGAGATTGTCATTTTTTCCTTGTTGTGACGTATATTCGAGTGAAACGGCTTCTGAAATTAGAAAAAAATGTAGGGCGGGGCTTGATTTCGTCCTTCGGGAATTGATTGGATCGTTGGAGGTTGGGCGTTGCAAACAAAATGGAGGCAGATTTGAATGTATCTTCTCTGAGAGGCGGTGCACCGATAGCCGCACCCTCATCGGCTCTGGCCGCACCCTTTCGCCATTGCACGTGACCGAAAGAGAAGAGAGGTCGTTTCGAGGGGGGAGGGAAGGGTAATGTATTTGATTAAAGATTTTAAGGGTACATGAATTTAAAAAAAATAATGAAGTGCACAGATAAATCATTTATAATAAACACTACAATATTACATATAAAAAGAAGATTTGTCAAATTTGATTTCATGCCGACTTTAAAGTATTAACAAATTGTAAAGCTTGTAGCTTATATCGGACATTTAAGAGACTTCCTAATATGAGCAACAGACAGAGTCAATAAATGAATATAATGGATTTAATAAAGGAAAACTACGTATACCGGTGACTAACGTTACAAGGAATAAATGTATATACATCAAAATAAAGCAACAACAATGAAAGAGAATGAGAATAAGAGAGTGGTAGAAAGAGGGAGAGAATGATCAATCAGTTATGGCAAAACCACAGACAAAAGGAACCTTGATAGAGAGAGACAGGGCTGTAGCTAGAGGATTCGGGGCCCCCTGAAAAAATATTGATGTGGGCCCCCACCACCCTCCACCAATATCATATACTGTACAATAGATGAACATGGAGATACAGAAGATGGTGATGTTGTTGTAAAACCTTTATTTTAAAAGTTAAATGTTTATATAAAAATTACACCTAATAAAAACTAACAAAAAGCAAGAAATTGTTAAATAATAATAAAAAACAATTTTTAAAAAGTAATATTTTTTTCCCCCATCAGTCTGTTATAATTCATAAATCAAAAAGTAAACATTTAGAAATTGACAAGAATGCAGTCTAATTAAAAAAATAAAACCATTCATTGTCTTATTTTTTAATAAAGATAATATGGAACTGGTAATATTATTAAATAAAGCGAATACATTTATTCATCCAAGTGCAGTGTGTTGTATTCGTGTTTTCTCGATGTTTTAAATATCATCAGCCGGCAGGTCAGATGCGCAATGCGTCGTGTCATTTTTTTAAAACTCTAGTTACAATAGTGTAAAAAGACAGGAATTTAGACCACGTAATCATTCGGTCGATTGTGGCGCGCACCGATAATAAAAAATGACTGTACACGGCAGACTGTAGACGGAAGTTTTCTAATTCCCAGCGAAAGAACAATATATAACCGGTCTTTAAGAACGTCTTGATCGACTGGGATACAACCACTCTCCTTGCCTCCCTCTCCGTCTTTTCCTGGCATTTCTGGTTCCCTGATTTATGTTTCTTTTCCCCGACATTTTTCAGTCAGTCAGTCTCCTGCTCTTCCACCAAGTTCATCGTTAACTTCAGGCTGCCGCCTCAACTCTGATTGGTTCTGTTCACGAGCTGGGGTGGGACTTACAATTTTATTGGGTCCATCTGATGTTTGTCACTGACTCTGACTGAATAATTAATAAATACTTTAGGTCGGACTAAACCATTTTTATGGAGGTAAGAGAAGCAGATATTTGGAAAAATATTTACCCAAATTGCACGTTTTTGTGGTTTTCATTTAAATCTCAGGCATACAACTAATATAAATATTAGAATTATTCATACAACAGGGGCCTAAATAGTATAACTGCTGGATTTTGTGGGGCCCCCTGGGCAGCGGGGGCCCCTATAATTGTCACCACCTTTCACCCCACTAGCGACGGCCCTGGAGAGAGACGACAAGAATCAAACAAATCACAAGGTAAACAAATCTTAAACGCCTTGAAAGCTTGATAAAACGAATACTTTCATATATATATAGTAAAGAAGGCGTGTGTTTGTCGGTTCTTCGGAAGTTCACATTCTCTTCGGTTCTTCCGGGGTGAGCGTAGTCACAGGAAGTTCAAATGTCCATTGAAAGTAAATTTTGCCAGCTAATTCAGGCTAAGTTCCTTTCACTCGCAAGTAGAAATGAACAAAGGAGAATACGAAAAGGGAAAACAAAAACTGAAGAAGACAAACAAAATAAAACAGACCCGAAAAGGTCTGAAGGGTAGGTCTGAAGATGAAGAATAACTGAAAACCAAAAAGAAGAGGACTGAAGAGAAGAGAGAGGGAAAACAAAGGATAACCGAAGACAAGAATAACTGGCGTTCCGTCCTCTTAAGGACAATGAAGTTCACACCTCCTTTGGGGTGAATGACCAATCACCTTAAAGATGTTTGAGAGGGAAAAGTCTTTCTTTGTCCTGTCAAGGCGGCTCATCTGCATAGTTTATGGTGGCGTTAAAAGTGATCATTTCTACTCCAGAAAGCTGGTGCATATAGAATCATACATTTTACTGTAATCTCCTGTATATGACCAACTCAGTTAGACCGAGAGGATTAAAACGGTACCAAGAAAGACATGTAAAAAAGATAGGAATACAAAGTTACATTCTAATGCATAATTACAAGCACTTACAGTTCATTTAATACTACGATAAAATCATAGATACCCCAATATGACATGGGCAAGCAGGCAAGCATACAAACATATCAAATATATCTTAGTAATGACTTTATATGAGGAAGTTAATGAAAAGTCCATGTACGTGTGTGTGTGTGCGTCTTGGGGGGAGCTTTGCTTCGGCCACCTGGAATTCCTTTCTTGCCGGGGAGGGGGTGTTGAGCGATACGAATCTGTTTGAGGCTCACGCGTTCGAGTTTATGGCTGTTTGTTTTCTCTCGCGTATGCCACAAAAGTGTCAATGGGAGCAATTAGACGCCGGCTCTCTGGCACCCTACTTGTGAATTACCGGACAAAGTCAGGGGTTAGAACGGTTTCCAAGTGTTGGAATGCATGAGTCACCCTGACACTGTCCAGATATGCTACAGTATGCTAATGACTACATGACTGAAATTATCATAATGACCCATTTTTTAACAAATTTTGGGTTCTTGTTACATTTTACAAATGGTGTTCTAGACAAAAGGCAGTAATGGGATGAGTATGCTCATCTAATCCTGTCAGTCACAATGCAAGTCAATAAATGGCTGCTCACTTCACTCCTGTACTGTGACAAATCACCACCTCCATCTTAAAGGGGTCATATAATGGTACATGCACTTTTTCAAGTTGATTGTACTGAAATGTGTGTTGGCAGCGCCTGTACACAACCATCATATAATGATAAAAATCTATCCAGTGTTTTTGTTTTAATCTCCTTATATGTTTTCCCCTGCCTCAAATTGAGCCGTTCGTTTTTGTAACGTCAATAAAACGGACGCCCCTCCCACGATTGTTGATTGACAGCAGCATTTCAACACATCCCCGCCCTGAGCGAGCTGTCATCATAGTCCGCTATTGTTGATACGCTGGAGCAGAATGGCGTCTAAGCGATTGTGGTGTTCTGTTCTTGGGTGTAATAACGAACACAGTCATTTTGATGTTCCTAAATCCGAAACGCTGAAGACACAGTGGCTGAGTTTTGTTTTTGAAGGGAATATTCCCCACGATCAACGTCAATGCTTTCATGTTTGCGCGATTCGCGAATCATTTCTGACCAGACTGCTTTATAAACGAGGGTCAGACTCAGTATAAAGCTGGTTTTGCTAAGAAGCTGCTCCTGAAAAAAGAATCGGTACCAACTATTCATGTCCCTGCATGCTGCACCTCCAGAAGAAGTGAAGGAAGAACCGGCCAAAGTAAGGATTATGCATTAAACATTTGAATTGTTTATTAACCCCTTGAGCGGCATGGGATCACCGGTGACCCCAACTTTTATTGTTTACATTTATCGCGTGTTTACAATATCATTTTGTCAAGTAATAAGGTTAACCAATACATTGTTTGAAAGATACGACACTGTATATTCGTCTCGTTATAAGCATTATACAATCAAGATAACTTTGCAACCGTTTTTTGTTATTCTTTATCAACATAAACAATGTGATACAACTATGAAGAGGAGGGGGGGGGCTTACCTTTTTTGTGTTGTTGAAATGTAATGCTTGGCAGAATAATGATGACATCGATCTTTTTACCATGGGAAGAGTCCAGTATATGATGTACATGGTAAAAATTTGTCCAAAAATATGCAAACTGTTAAAAATATCCATAGAACTTCTATTGTTTACATCCTGAATTTTGCTAATCACGAGGGCGTTGTCCCGTTTATTCGACGAACTATCCACATCTAGCGCATTATTCAATGAAACATAACATATCAGTGTTTTTATTAGAGTGTCTGGAAATTAATGAGA